TGAAATAACTATATCAACTATTTATTGTTTATAATATCTAATAATTATGTACTTTTGATTCAAATTTTACACAACCTTTCCCTTTTACAGTGAGATTTGTAGAATCAGCTAACGACGAACAAATTATAACAACAGATGAGCGAACATGCGTGAGGAAAGCATTTAGTGGAAATGGTTTCAGATTGAGAGGAGATTTTTATTATGAAATGTTTGTAAGTACAAAAGCTTAATATTTCATTGTTTCAGGAAACTATACTTTGAAACGGTCAAATTGAATTTTCAGTAGCAATGTGTAGCTAACTTGAGATTGTTAAATTCTAATTTACCCATTTTGGCTTTGCATGATGTGCATGGTGTCGCACTTGGAATTATCTTAAAATCTTAACTGTAAAAACTTCTCAACTTTGTTCTTCAGGAAGCACAGTAAATGTCTTCTATAAAGTTTCCTGCTGCTCCCGGCTCCCCATGATGCGCATGATTGGAAAAAAACATACAGAAATTATCAAACGTTAGATAGCATATATGTGATTGGCAATGCATGGACTGCAATGATTTTACTTCCATTGACTAAAAATAATTTAGAAAGCCTTGTAACGCGAACATGCGAATCGACTATACATTTGGATAAACTTAATATAAAATATAATTGTTTATGAATGTACTTGCCTTATGTAAAACCCTATAAAAAGAGCGAAGCCAAGTTAGAGGAACGCCAAGACGGCGAAAATTTGGCAAACACTCCCCAATTAGCCCACATAGGCGAAATCACTCGCCTTCTATCTCCTGTACAAGTTTATTTTAAACGATTTTAAATTCTAACATCTTCTTTTTAATCGTTAATTTGATACATCTTAAATCCGCGATTGCGTCGATTAACTGGTCTGTGTATTAAAATGGTCGGGCGCCATGTTTTTATTACCGCATTTTTGTTGGCTTTTTATTTCAAAGAGCTAATTTAACTATAAGTCTAAGATCCCGTATAGGTCAAGTTATTTGCAGTAACGTAACTGCAATACTTGGTCATACTGGCATGTGCTGATAAAATAAATAATAAACGTAGGCGTACGGGGCTGAATGCTTTCCGGGGGAGGCAGTTGAAACTTTGCCGGAATCTTTGTAGAGGGTTGTAATGAAATTACCTTAATTTAACATATTTTCTGGTAAATCTACCCGACTTCTCTTGATTTTCCCTGGAATTTGCCCGAATTTCCATGGGTTTCTAATGCAAGCTGGGAAGGGGGGGGGAGCTTCCCCTCCCCTCTGCCCCCTATAACTGTCTCGTACGCCTGTGATAATAAAAAGTGACATAAATATTTCATTAAGAAATCAAAATGCAATTATATGCATGGCTCCCACTTGTTTGCTTCCCACGCTCGTTAGCCATTGATCGAGAGGAATAATTTAAACTGATGTTTACAATAATTACGTCTGGTTGTCGTGACAGTATTGTGCTAGATGCATGCAAATAACGTCAGACAGTCATGCAATGGTACTGTATATGCGTCAATGCAAAAATGCAATGTTTGGCAAATATCCATCTTAGTGAAATACTTCTAAAAAGGTGAACCAGCTAGAAAAGCGCTGTGCAGTGCTGGCATGGCAATATTTCTGGAACCAAACCATGCTCAACTGCTATCATGTTTACTATATAATTATCAACGTTTTCTGAATGCTTTAAACTCATAGGCAGATTATCTATATTGAGACCATCTACGCAAATTCGCCTAAATAGATCAACTATATATTATACATGATCGGTATAAGGCCGCACCGGATTGCATTAGTGCAACACACTGTTTAATTTGCGCGGGTTTTGCGTAAAAGTTTAGCAAAAAGAGAGAAGAAGGAATTAAAGACAAGATCCACATTATTGGTATTTATATGATTCTCTCCTTGAAGTATATTTTGAACTTATTAGTTAAAATATGCACATTTTGAGAAATATTCTGTCATCTATTTTTCTGTTGGCGGTCATTTATTTCAGATTTGAAGTTTGTATATCTGCTCTCGGTATAACAAATAAAATCCATTAGCTAACGTTTTTAACTGAAAAGACGTCTAAAAATGACGTGTCTGAAATAACTTAACTTAATTACTAGGTAACAAAACTGCTGACTGCTTATAGAATATTGTCACTGTTTTGGGCTTGTTTTAGCAACTAACCAAAGAGCGTGACAATTAATAGACTGATTAGAAAAATGCTTGTAATTTTCATCACTGCATGCCGCCTTATCGAATACTTCATACAAGACTAACAGTTTTACAAAGTATAAATATAATATCATGTATTCCGACTTTGACTCTTTGAAAAATTAAATGTTAAAAATATACCCAAGGTTACGCTAGAATTAGGAAACAAGTCTTACTAGCATTTTTTGTACATTCTAAAAGGCTATATTATTTAACTTGCAACTTTTACACTTTGCCTTAATAACAGTCTTTGTTGAAAATTATTTATTAACCTGGTAATACAAAAATAGTTGTTGTAGCTATGTTGTAGCCGAATCGATCAATGGATTCATCCATGCATGCAGCATCCATGCATGCATGCAGCCATGTTTTGCGGATCAACTTATAATTCTTAAATCTTAATCAATTTTAGTGTAAAACTAAAAGGCAATAGCAGATCTAGATTTAATTATTTACCATCTTTGAATGGATATCGAACTAGGTAAAACCAAAAGTAAAAATAAATAGAAAGTATAAGAATCTAATTAATTCATCTCGTTAATTGTATAGTGGACTATCAATTCATTCGTTGTTTACGCAGCCATTATTAAATCTTCTTCTATTCATGCACGTTTGATCATGAAATGCTGATTTCCACATAATTAAGAATTTAGTTGAATTTGAATAATGCTCAAAAACCATTTTAAAACAACATGTAATATTTCATATAAAAAAGAGTATCACAACTTTGTATTTTTTCTGTTTGCATTAAGAGATATATGTAAAACATATATAGTAATTGTTTTACTATAACTATAAAGTAAAGTGGCAACTCCCAGTTTGATGTTCACACAATCTTCAGGTGTAAAGTTTAGCTAACTCAATCCATGAAGTCTAGAAAAATTGTTTAATCTATGACTATGCATGGGTACATTGTTTGAATAAGGCTGAAATTAAAATCATGTATGCTTGCAACGTTCTCTGGTTATACAAAACGTTCTGGACTACAACCATTATTTGAGCTCAGTCGGTCAAACGAGAATGAGGGTTGACGAGAGTTGTCACAGGGACATTTCAAACTCTAGATTAAAAAAGTAAAGGTTTGAACAGTGTTCCATGCAACTACGTTTTAACTTAATTAAATAAGATACACGATGTGTTGGGAGAGCAATATACGTATAAGAACAGCTAACCAAGGTGACGTGACTGCCAACTTTACCATCGATTCAAATAGTACCTTCAAACCACTGAGATGGGCTAGCTCATCTTATATCTGAGCATATTATACAATTACTTTATGGTTTCCGTGTTTGGATGGCCTGATCCAAACACGCGGGAATGTTGCGAGGGTTAAGAAAAGCGAGCGAAATCACGAGCCGAAGGCGAGTGATTTTGCCCGCTTTTCTTAACTCGAGCAACATTCCCAAGTGTTTGGATCATTCCATCCAAACACGGAAACCATAAAGTAATTGTTTTATAAAATAACAACAACACGATAGTCTTCCGTGTTTGGATGGCCTGATCCAAACACGGCTTTCGACCAATCAGAATACGCGTTATGTACATGTTATTTTATAAACGTAGATCGTACATGCTGGCGTGTCCTGAATATTAATGAGGCAAACTATACGTACTCAGTATCAGTAGTGTTGACAAATATTTATTGGTATAATTATGATGTTCAAATGTCAAGCATAGTTATGAACACTTTGAACTTACAATTTGAACCTTTATTCTGTTACAAATAAGTCAAAGCCAAGCGAAACCGAAAAAGCGCGCGAAAATTATATGTGAATTAATGTTCGACTGCATGCATGCATAATATGCTTGATATTTATTTGGTCGCGCATGAAAAATATATCCAACCAAATCGACGGCAATTGACAACAGAGCAGCATGAAGAGAACCTTTTCTATTAATGCCAAATCCAGAACAAAAATGAAGCAAACAACTGTAGTTTTATCATTCTGGACTATTTTTAACATTTTTGAATATTAACATATTTTTTAACATATTATATTCACTTGTTTTTAAATTAATGTCGCGCCCAAATCTCACCATGCAAATTGTCTTCTGTTGCTATGTAAAATACTTATTCATTTTCATTTGTAGATTTGTCCGAATGGAATGATAAGGTTTAACAACAATTTTTATCAAAACTGGCCGTTCAATTTTGGAACCCTTCAGATGCAATCGGAGGATATCTCTTTCGCTCCATTTTGGGCCCGTGTAGATTTAACTGCGTTTGGTACGTCTGCAGGTGATTCCAAGGTCCGCTTTGCCTCCTACCACAAGGACACAAACCCAAGACAGGTAGTATTCGATAAAGTGAACGATGATGTCAGAGGATTCACAGGAAGAAATGATTTTCAGGCAACTTGGGTGTCAGTTATCACCTTTGAAAACATTATGCCTCACGATCGAGTACAGCGTGGCTATGAAGGGGTTTGTATTTTTGTACATTATTATATACAGAATTAACCCTATATATTTTAAGTAAATCAGTGGAAAGCCCACTCGATCGAACTGCTATAAAGACCTTGGCTATAGCGTGACCATAACCAACCTCGCAAGCCAGGGTCTTTTACCTGCGCTCGGGCTCCGGCGAAGACCCTGGTTCCCTCTGGTCACGTGAACCCCCAGATTTTAGGGGTAATTCGAATTGCCACCTCTTTGCCACGTAGGGAGGAGTGGTAGAGGGAATTCAAGAGCGAAAACTAAAAAATCAATAACTATGCCTATGGAAAATACGGCCATTTACGCTCTGTATTAACTCATGTTTTGGGTTTTGTCGGTTTTTGTGTTATCTTTTATGAAATATGTCACCGCTTGAAAGCTTTTTACACCTATTTGATATAATTTGCGTGGCTGGAGGTCTGTTTTACACCTGGAAGTGGAGCCATTATTTATCAACGCAAAGAAAATAAAGCATTAAAGGTCAAATGCACACTTATACAAAGTCAAAGTACAGTATTCAGTAGCTCTCAAGCTATGGCACAGCGAAAGGAAACTCCAAATGGCAAAAATGATTTATCCGAAGTCCGCTTTGTTTTCGGAATGCAAGTGTCACCTTTGTGGTAGTATTATCGACAAGAAGTATTGCAACCGAACCTATTCTTAGAGGTAGCTGAATAGCGAAATAAAAACCTGCTTCGTATCGCAGAATTTGTGAATTGTGAAATTCTTGCGTGTGATGTCCGATCGGATGACGGATTTTCTAATCTTCCTAAATTAACATTAAATTAAAAGAATGGGGGCCAAGAAAACACCCAAGACAGTGAAGTCAATCGAATGTTTATTTAATATTAAAGCAGAGCGACTGGAGGGATATCTGCAGAAATGATAAACAACTTCGACATAGCTGTAGGAATTAAGTCAAGAAGGCATCCTCTCACAAGCACAAAGTTCAGAGAAAATGTACATGTTATTTTATCTCATC